TTTTTATCATATATATATATATATATATATATATATATGATAAAAATAAAAATATTATATATATATATATATATATAATATCAACTTTTGTACTTATTTTAATCATCAGAATCGATTTTCTAAAAATGTCCCACACAATACATTAACAGTCTGTATATAAAATGATATAGAAAAAAAAATATCGTTCGATTCATAACTGATTATATTGATAATTAATTATAATGGAATTGTATTCATTATATAATTCAATTTGAATTATAATATTGAATTATATTTGTAATCATTTCAATTTAAATTTTTTAATTAATCTATAATCTTAAAATTTTTTTGCTTTTATTCAATTCATGTATATGAAGAACTTTGAATTAAGATCTAATTAATTTAAGTTAAGACATTAATCTAAATATATTATGTACATGCTTATCGTTCTTCTATTACACCTATATTGCGATATCGTCAAAAAAAATCATGTATTTTCTGTATTAATATTTTTGTATTTATTCTTTGCCATTCTTTAATTACTCACCAGTTGTTTAATATTTTCAATTGAAAATAAACAATTAATTAACAATAACAAATTTAAATGGAGATAAATTTGATAAAAGATATAATAGCAAAAACATGTTTCGAAGAATAATACGCAAGATTCGGTATATAAGAAAAAAAACAAAATGGATTTAACAATTAAGATCGAGAAACGAAAATTAGTGAACTACACAATCGTGAAATATAAGCCATAAGCCGTAAGCTGCAAGCCATAAGCCATAAACCGTAAATTGTAAATTCTTCACTGCAAATTATAAATTATCGATAAATTCAAACAAGAACGCGAAATTCTCGTTATATAATCGAAGAAAAAATTGAAATATATCACGTTCGCTTTCATGCGAAAAACGTGCACATTTTTCTCTTTCTAACTGCAATCGCGTCGCATCACTGACTAAACTTTTCTCCTAGATGGAAAAGCCCTGGTCACATATATACATCAATGCATTCAAGCCTTCGATACATTGGCGCCACCTCGCTGCTCACCAAAGGAATATTCAGGACGCCATAGAAAATTTCTCCTACGCAGGGATCAAACGCTTGCGCCCCTCTTTTCTTTTCTCTCTTTCCTTTCCTCACTTTTTCCTTCTCTTTTAACCTAAACTTACCCCTCTCTTCTTGGTCAATCTCTCCGCCATGGTTATATTATTTTATCATATCCTATCTTTACCCTTTCTACCTACATATTACTATCCTTCCTCCATTTCTATCCCCTCCATTACCACTATCACCATTACTAACATTGCCAGACTTCTCCCACTTCTGTCATCACTACTATCTTATCTTTACCATTATATCACCACCACTATTGCTTTACTACCCTCTCATCCTTATCAACCATATATATTTTCCTGGTCGGTATTTCATTAGCTCTCTCTTTCTTTCTCTCTTATTTTTTTTAGTTTTCTTACTTTCTTTCTTCTCTCATTTTCTCTTATTTTGCTTTTTCCTTTCCTCCCTCCTTTCAGCCTATCTTCATTACTTTTTCGAAAATCATTATTTAATCGTAAATTTCGAATTAATTATCATCAACAAATTATATTATTGCTTAATATATTCTAATTATTTAATAATATATATAGATTTTTTATATGATTTTCCTATATATAAATTATAGAACATATCTTTTAATTTTTAAATATATAAAAAATCGATTAAATCATTAAAAATGAAAGAAAAAAAATATAACATAGAAATTATAGAACAAATTAAAAAATATCTATTTTTATAAGCAAGAAAGAGTCACAAATCATTCAAATGACAAGTTTGATCAAAAATTGTTTTTTATTCTTCTTTTGTTTAGAAAAAGCCTGGAGCATTGTTGAATAAAGTGGGCCAGGTCCGGTGTTCTTTCAATTATTCGTATATATCTTCGTTGTTAGATGAGAAATAAAAAAAATGAAAATGGGTTACAGATGCGTGCGCAACCGAGGTATGACCGAACTTTTACAAGATAATGAACATAGATGTTACGAATTATTCATGTATTTATTATATAATTTTTTATTTTAAAACATGTTAAAATTTACGAAAATGCAAATAAAAATTTTTAATAGGCAATAATAACTATTATCAAATAACTATTACTAATCCATGATTTAATAATCTTAATTTTTTTTCCAAAGAGATAAGAATAAGCATTGTATATGTATATAATTATAATTTCGAAAATATAGACTTCTATAAATATATAAATACATAATTTATGTACATACTTATACATATTTTTTTATTTATTTTCTTAGAAAATAGTCACTTCATATCAATGTATTTTCGAATTGAAATTCGAATCATTATGCTAAATTGTTTTGTATGATAAATAAATTAAATAATATATTGATATATATAAATTTTAAATATAATTTTAAGAGTA